GGATATTTAACACTAATCTGCGTTGTTATCAAACACGCAAAAATTTAATACATTTCTTGCAAATTTTCACTACACTATCATTGTGATATTGCTATGAGCATAGAAACAGTCTCACTTTTCTCAATCAATTCTCAGTTGGTCCGTTTCTTTTTCATTCTATGGAACTATGAGCTTTTGAAATCTCGGCAGAGGTGGGGTTGCTAGCCTGTCACCCAGCCTCCTTTATTTTCCAAGCTTAATAGTGGCGAACAACGCGAGCTTTAGGAGTGAGTCGGGGCTGGGAATGTAACCCCCACCACGTACATAGTTGGCGAACATCCCACCACTGATGTAAAGTTCTTCCTAAACAAAACTTAACTGACTCATTAGAAATATCTTCATGAAGCATGCAAAGTCAAACAACGTTAGATCGCCAGGTTAACTGCAAAAGCTTCAACATAACAACTTTACTGTAAAGCAATCGTGAATCTGTACTTTCTATACAACTAACTTATCTGTGGATATGCAAATTATTAACATCGGGAAACAGTTGATATAGGATGCATTAATATGTTTGTTCAATGTATATTTTTGTGCTGTGCTGCAGATTGATCGGAAGAGGCAAAAACTGAAGCCGACATTTTAAATCAATGGTTCTAGCAGATGTAGAAGTGTTTTCCTTCCTTAAATCTGGATTTCGTTTACGTTGTGGTCATGGAATACCTTCATTGGACAACCTGTTCAACCTTGGGCCACTAGCCAGCCAATCAGAACAATTTATTCTCTTCTGGCAGACAAGTGTACGGGGTGGTGATGGGCCCTCCAATGGGTCCCATTTCGGCAGATTTCTTTCTAAGTAAACCAGAAAATGGAACTTTGAACAACCTTATCACAAAATTCTTATTTTATTGCCGGTATATGGATGACACCTTTATTCTTTGTGATAATAATTCCGACAGGAATTTAATAATAATTGAATTCAATGAATTACATTCTTCTATGAAATTCATATGCTAAGAGCAATCCCAAAATAGAATTGCCTTCCTAGATGTCCTCTTTACAAGAAAAGCAGATGGTAGTATAGAGAGAAATTTGCATATGTAAAACCCATGGACTGGACGATATATACATTTTCAAAGATTCGATCATCTTCAGTACAAAAGAAATTTAGTGAGGACCCTCAGCCACAGGGTTAGAGCAATAAGTTCAAAAGAGGTCACTGAAGATGAACTGAGGATTGTAGGCGATACCTCGACTGAAAGTAGCTATCCAGAAAAATTCATCAGGAAACATATGACTAAGAAAATTGAAAAAGACTATTCACCATCCGTAAACAGAAAGCCTTTAGAAAACAGAAAGATTGAGCGAAGAAATATTTACTTTTCAATTAGATCCTCATCTCACTCTGACTCTACTCTAATATATAATATCCATAGTATTTTTATTACAATACACGACAGTTTGCCAATCAAGTGGCGATATGTTTGTTAACAATAATTAAACAGTGTCAAAATGTCAATGGGTTGATAATAAACGAAGCAAATCAATACACATTTAAAAGGTAGAAATGGTTAGAATATATATACGACTGCTATTCAAGGGCGATATACCAAGTTAAATAATTACGAATAAGTTAAGAAAATCAGTTCAAAGAATCCCTAATGCAGTCAAACTAAAAGTCTTATTTTCCAAACTACCGGTCGGTAGTGATTCCTCAATTGATGGATGAAGTACCTAGACTAGACTAACTACTTTCAATTGTATCTACCAATTTAACCAACTGCGATTATGGAGCGAGTTATATTGGCTGTTACTCTAGGAATTTGATTTTTCGAGCTTATCCAGCAGCATCTCCCAGTGTGGCTAAGTACAGGTGTAGTTAGAAGCATCAACACTTCGATATTAGACCACCTGGTCCAAACTGGCCAAAAAGCCAGTATTGAAGAGTAATTCTCCATCATCTATTAGGTACCGATAACATCCAGGTCCCAGAGACCCCAAACAGCTGAGACTACTACGATCCACTAAAAACAACCGGTGCTCTGTGTGCAGAAGGAACAGGTTCAACCACTACTACTGCCCTGACTGACTTTCAGTTGAGACTACGAATTCATGAATTCTGAATTATTGTTTTTCCTAATTTGTCTGATATTCAGTGTATTGTTATGTTGATGCAATCGAATTGTAATCCAGTGATCTTAATATTGATTCGATGTGATTTAAACAACATTAATGCTATTGTTAACACTAATTCATTCACTATTATGTGAATATATAACTATAGAACCTGATGAAGGAGAGGTTATCGAAAAGAGTACGCTTTTGAAACATTTTACTGAAATTTAATTTGTCTGCTAATGTATAAATATGATGCGTTTTTCCTTGATGGAGGTAGGTCACCAAGTCTCTTATCTCCTCCAGTTACATATTCACTTATTACTAAGGCAACTACCGTAAATTGCTTTTCTTTCCTCTAAACATTTCAGAAATCCTGTAACCAATTAATCAAATCCCTACAAACCAATACTTGAATATCAATGAGATACTCACTAGCGACTAGCCGTAGTCAGGATGGTAGTTACCTGGGGTTCTAGTGGAAAGTCGTGACCAATAGAGTGCAAAAGGTCGGGTGTGAGGACAAATACTCGCTGGCGATGATATTAACTAGCGGTTGCGCTATATCGTCAATTGGCGAAAGTTAGAATTCATGTACTGGCCATGTATCCAGAAGGTCCCGGGTTCGAACCCTGGCGGTGGGTGCGTAGTGCTGAAGAGTCCCAAACTAGGACGTAGGAAACAGCTCTCCAGTACTCCTTGGTTGTTTTCCAAGGGTTCTCTAACCCATGTCAGCTCACAATGAAATCCTGTAAGTAATCAAACACAAGTCCTACAAACCAATACTTGAATATTCTTATTATTAGTTTACAAAAGCTATAGCTACAAATGAAACGTACAATTCAACAATCTGTTTCTAGAGAAAAGAATAAATTTTTTTTCTGAAGTACAACTATTTAAAATCGCTTGATCCAGTTGACTATAAAACAATGAAAAAAATTAACTTTTATACAAAAATTAAAAATTTTACATTCAACAAAAGAAAAACTAGATGTAAAAACTGCAATAAGGTGTAGTTTTTGAATTTTTCTAAACCCTAGAACTGTTTGAATAACACTCAAAAACAGATGTATGCTGCTTAACTTATAAGAAATTGTTGAACTACTTAAGTAGTGGTAAAGAGAAACACTTCTGAAGAAGAAGAAGAAGAAGACAAAAGGAAGATGAAGTGATGATTAAGTGTCAACACTTCAATATTGATTTTAGAAATTCCTTGTTTTTGACACATACTGGTTGAAAGTATACTAGAGTTCAATTGTGGTAGTGCGATACAGACAGTGTGTACCAACGGAATATTATCCTCACATATTCGCACTTCTCTTTTCTTTCTTTCTACATGACTTACCATCTTCAAATGACATTAATTTTGTCAAATACGCTGACGATCTGTCTGTATCTTTGCCTATCAAATGTCAAAGCGACTGCTCTAAGCTTAATGCCTTTCTGTCAGAAATCAGCCAGTGGTCCAAGGAAAATGATCTTACCCTAAACCCCTCCAAATGCCAAACGGTCAATTTCACCTTTAGGCATAAATCCGACCTAAACAAACTGGTTAGCTCTCACGAGGTATGCAACACAGACGGAACTGAAATAGAAACCAAATCGGAAATTAAATACCTAGGTGTCATTCTATCTGCTGATCTCTCCTGGTCGTCTCATATCTTAGCAATTTCTAAGAAAATATTCTGTCTTACCTTCTACATCAAGAAGATAAAACATTCTGGTATAAACCAACCCTCACTCCTACAATTCGTTAACTCTCGCATTCTGCCTATTATTCTCTATTGTTCCCCCTTAGTTTTTCCCGGGCTCCCACTTTTCTAACACCTTCAAACACTGTTTGAGATTTTCCTTTGCTACTGACATGGCAATGTATTGTTGTAATAATGAACTGTGGTTTCCTCAATCTATGTAGAATTCTATTTTATTGATAATGTACTAACTGGATGCAATACTGTAATAAAATGCTGAGAATTCCATTCTGTATCACAAGTACTGTTTTGGAATAAAACAAATTATTATTATTATTATTAATATTATTACTATTATTATTATTCAATACTGCAATAGCAACAGAATACGATTTTTCCATTTGAACTTTCTATTTCATGTCGTTTGATGTGAACCAAAGTCACACGCTCAGTAATTGGTTAAAGGATACAAACCTGTATATATATAAATAGCGGTTTGACCAGGGGAAAATATATCTTACTTTCCGTGTCTTGCCTTTTGTTGCTAAATTTGGTGTCACTGCCTCTTCCGAAAAATGGAAATTCTATGCCTTTCAGTTTGTGATGGTGACATATGGAACTTCGGGCAGGACTTCGAGGTTGTTGCACAGT